GCGCAGTGAGCTGGTAACAAAGCATGTGAACGCGCAGTGCTCTGCGGTAGACTTTAAGACTCACCTCCCTCTGCCTCAGCTGGTGAGGATGTTTTGGACAAATGAAATAATAAGTCTAATAATTTCAGTTCTGTGCTAAAATGTACATGCATGCTGCCTATTTTTGGCCGAAAAGATGATTAATGTTGTAACATCTGCATTTAGAAATTTGCATGATCGCTCACTGAACCAGAAGCCGCTCTGAGTGAAACGGCCATTTCAGTCCTCAGCGCCCAGTAGCTGGGGCATGAGGCGAGTGTGACGGAAGGGGTGGGGGGGATATAGCAAAGCCCACTACCACGTGGGGGGGGGGCGTTGGTCTGCGGGAGTCCGGCCCCTTTCCAGCGCTGTTAGCGAATCACCCTGCAGGGATTATTAGCTCCCCCCCCCCACCGCTCCCATCATCGCATCTGCACAGGCTTCGTTCCGCTCTCCCCGCCTTCACGTGCTGGTGATGTTGCCGTGGTGACGATGCCCGGCAGGGTTGTCATGTCGTCTACAACGCGGCTGGGTCACATCCCATAAGTCTGTGGGCTTGCCGCACTGAATAAGAACCGGCTCCAACGAATGATACCAAATTATGGCTGGTAATATTCAGGAAGCCTTATGGTCACACATATAAATAAATATGCAAGGACGTGAATGAAAGTTGAAATTATTTTTAAAAACCTTACATCAGGTACTTCTTCGCATTGAATCTGGCCGCCAGAGTGTCACATTTTACTGTGGGCTTGACAGGGATGGCAGAAAATGCTGCCTGTTTCCTGACAATGAAGGATGCTTGTACTGCGCTCTGCACTGGGGATGTGAGACCTTGGCTGCGTCACATCGCCAGGCGCCGTGTTCCCCTCCCTGTGCACCAGCTGGGTCAGCACCTCGGCACGCGCTGAAGACATAAGTAATAAACGGTGAAATATGTCGTACTTAAGTGCTGTAACTCATGCCGGCAGCCTAACTCGAGAGTCCCAGGAGTGCCCCTTCATGTGGCCTGTGCTCTGGCCTTGCTGCCGGAGCTCATAGCGACGGAGCGGCTCCTCTGAGGGCCCTGTCTCGTCCCGACTGGCCTCTCGCATAACCGTGGCCTTTCTGCTTCACCGCTGCGCCGAAAAGCATCCCTGCGCCTGTCACCCGGAGCCCCAGTTGCCACAGTGTTGACGAGACCGAGATCCGTTTCCCGAGCATGTCGCTGGTGCACGTCGGGTCCAATCCGATAGTGCCGTCTGATCTTGCATCGTTACCCTCAAGAGCAGACGAGGAAACGAGTATCGGATTGGTTCACTTGTCTGTACTGAGAGATGGAGTTTAGGCCTGACCTTGATGTGGTGAATCTGTCACACAGAGGTTCCCTGGGTCATACATTCAAAGCTTGTTATTTGCATTATCATTTGTTGGTAACCAAATGAAAGTGCCTTAAACTTTTCATTCATGTACAGTGTGTTGTCACCCCGCCACATGACAAAAGTACCTTTTCCCAAATCACCGCACCCCTCTCCCGTTCACCAGTAGGACTGGTGCCTTGACTGTTCTTTTCCCGTCTTCCCAGAATGCCCAGAGGCTGGGAGTCCCTCAGATGGCCCAGACACTTACCACGCCAGTGGTCTCCGTGGCGACGCCGAGCCTCTTGTCGCAGGGGCTGCCCTTCTCCGCCATGCCGACGGCCTACAACACAGGTGAGATGATGTTAAGGTCACTGCCCTGTTTTAAATGACGGCCTTAACTTTGCTTATTAATGCACTAAGTATCCTTATTGTAGGGAAAATCTGTGGGATTAACGGTGGACTTGAACAGGGGCAGTAGATTTTGTTGACTAGGCCCCGTCATTAGGTATTTGGGCCTTATAAAGTCCCCTGAATCTGCCAGGGTAGCCATGTCCCTCCGACCCCCCTGGCTGTAAAACACACAATTCAGTTATTTGGGTTTTTGTAGGAATGAAGTCCTGCTTCATGAAGCACTGGGGCTCTCCTCTTGCAGTGCTGCTTCATGAAGCACTGGGGCTGTCCTCTTGCAGTGCTGCTTCATGAAGCACTGGGGCTCTCCTCTTGCAGTGCTGCTTCATGAAGCACTGGGGCTCTCCTCTTGCAGTGCTGCTTCATGAAGCACTGGGGCTCTCCTCTTGCAGTGCTGCTTCATGAAGCACTGGGGCTCTCCTCTCGCCACAGTGTCTTAAGTCTGACTCACTCTGAGATACATATGTTTCATTAATGCTAGCTTTGTCACAGTGTGTGATTGCCACACACACGTTTTAAATGTATGTGCATAAATCTTTTATGCTCTGTTTTAGGTTCAGGGTAAGTATCTATCCCAGGGTTATAAAGGGGTCTTACTGTGAGGCGTAAGCGTATCACAGGAAGTGGGGGAGGGGGGGCGCTGTCCTGTCCTCCTACCTCCAGCCTGAGACTTCACACATCCCATAATGCAGTGGAAACGTGTCGAGCACATGGGCTGCTGTGCAGGAGTGTGACCTCTTTCATCTTCTCTCCTCCCAGCTGAGCGCTGTCTCTCTCTTCCACGCCTTCCCCCCTTTCCTTCACACCATCTGGTCTTGCCTAGACACAGTACAGAAGCGACAACATGACAGAATCTGAGCACATTGCTGATGCTGAGGGGAGATGGGATTTGATCTGATTTCATATCAATCGCCTGCATAGAAAATGTGTGTCTCAGATACTGCATCTGTGGTGAAGGCATGTTGTTCTCTTCTCCTTCAGATTATCAGCTGACTAGTGCAGATCTGTCGGCACTTCAAGCTTTCACATCGCCAGGTGCCCTGGCACTTGGCAACGTGTCCACATGGCAACAGCAGCAGCAACCGCAGCAGCAGCCAGTATCTCAGCAACAGCAAGTCAACCTGGCTTCACTCAACAACTTAGTGTAAGTCAACATGGTGCCTCGTGTGGCAGTTCTCCAGTACTGCACCCATGACCACTCTGACCCAATATCACTGACCCTCTATCATCCCATCCAGTGCCATGAAACAACACGGCCGCTGTGTAGAAAGTATGGGACCACCATTCTCTCCAGACACACCATACCACTATCGATGTTCCCTAGTAGTCAAAGATGGGGCTGTTTGTCACATTTTACCTTAGTGACCTGATTGTAATCATTGTTTCTTGATGCCATCTTTTTTTGGGGGCCTTGATTCATAAGCAAGAACCTCCTACTCATGTCCTGAACCACTGACCTAAATACAAGCCCCCCCCCCAGCATTTTAAGGGACTCTTTGGAGGCTGATTGGCTGCTAGTCACATGGCAGCCATGATAGCGTTTGCCCCTCTTGTCCGCAGCATCTGAGCCGCGATGACAGGGTGGGGAGGAGCCATCTCCTATGACCCTGGTGGGGTCAGCTTTGTGGGTCAGGCTCCCCCCAGGCCTCCCATGGCGGAATGTTCCGGTGTCTCCCTTAGTGACTGGGCGTCACTATTCTCTATTAGCAAACAGCTAATGGGAAGCGAGGGCCGAGGCGGCGCCCAGTGTGTGTCCTGCCCCTGGGGGGCCGCGTTTCCGCGTCTCTCTATTCCGGCACGGCGGCGCTCCTTAGCACACGCCTCTGGGCCGCTGGATAATGTTACATTATGTAACGCGGGTCGGCTGCCCTCACCTGCCGGCCACGAAAACCCCCCCCCCCCCCCACCTGGTTTTTTCCCTCTCTTGTTTGCCCTCACTCTCTCTTTCTCTCCTTCATTCTCCCTGGTGTTGAAACTCCCAATTTCTCCCCCAACAGCGTGACCCCCCAGTCAGAGCTGCTTGCGGGGAGGCAGGAGTGGCTAAGCCGGTACCGTATGACAACCCCCCTTTCATCCCGCCCCCTCTTTCTTTCTGTGTGTGTGTGTGTGTGTGTGTGTGTGTGTGTGTGTGTGTGTGTGTGTG